CGAATCCCTCCATTTCAATGTTGGATTCTTACGCGCATATATATGTCAGCCGTACTGTTGCAATTTCGGGGACATTTATCGAGCACTGCTCGACGTTCATTGGCCAATTGCCGTCGAGCACCGTGCACCCACGACAAGACGAGTTACAGCGCCTGACGGCGCCATCGACGTTGCTTGACAAGCTGCGCTGTCGGTCGACGTGAGTGGTAACAGGTTTTGCAACCGGCCGATGGTCACAATCGACGGCGCCGTCAATTGCGGTCGACCGATCACTTTGACGGTCGAGCGAGACGTCGCTGTCGGACGAGCGACGGGTTACGTGAGTCGCCATCAAATGGGTCACGTCAACAGATGATGGCCACGTCAAAGGCCAAGGCCTTGTGGTCATCTGTAAGGGAAGGGTTATCAACATTACTACGGTATAAATGAAATCCTAAACTGGTAGCAGCAGTAACATCGTTTTTGTCTGTTAGGCCAACGGTACAGCAATGAGAGCTTTCGGGTAGGCACTGATGGAGAACGATCCGTCGAGGACAATGCCTTTCCGGCAGGCAGCGATAGGACCGCTACCTGTCGATGTTGAAACCATCTCGACACGACCCCCTAGGACATCACAAGCCATATCAGGCTCGATTTTGTTATTTTCGACGTCACGAGCCATACCGGGCTCGACAGCTCCAACCTCGATGTCAGGAGCCATACCGGGCTCAACAGCACCACACTCGACGTCACGAGCTATACCGGTATCAACAGCACCACCCTCGACGTCACGAGCCATACCGGTAGTGGTTCAGCCGGTTGCGACGGACCAACGCTCGACGGACCGTGCCGTCAATGTCGAAGTGGGGGGGGCACCGACCGAAGTCCCTTCGACGGCGCAATCCATACCAGTAGAAATAGAACCTATTTCGACAACAACCCCTCCCTCAATACCGGAAGTGACAAACCAGCCATCATCGGCACCACACCGTTCAACAACACCAACGGAACCATGTGCCGCTGTCCCAAGATCGACTGGTGGGTGACGTAGGAGAAGGGGTATAGGTGTTCCGGCTGAGGTTAGGTCACTACCCCCAGCCGGTACATCCGCTTCACGAGCCACTCCCGCCGCGCCTATGCGCTCATCGAAAAGACCCAGCAAAGCGGACTTAGCCAACCACGTCACTGCAAAGACAAATAATGACGACGATGAGCCAGGAGAACAGCCCGAGGCGGACGATATCGAAGAGGTGGACCCTTTGCGCCCTGTCGCGGAAAATATATCAGAAGAGGAGGCTGCCCACATTCTCGGTGACGAACAGGGCGAAGAAAATCCGTACTTGGCGACGGGAACACTCAAAAGTGCGATTCACCGTTGTCAGCTTCCGCTGCTGGGAATCGACCAGGATTCCACTCGGCCAAACTATGTCTCGGGTTTCATGCATTTCAAGGCTTGGGCTTGTGCAACCCTGGCGCTCGGAAAAAACAACGGAGTGCCGGTCAAGGAGCAGGTGATCAACAAGGATGAGGTCGGGAGAGAGATTGGCAAGGATTTAGGGAAGGGGTGGAGGGCGGCGCTCCGTAACGAGGAGCACCTGCATGGGCCTTGGACGTCGAAATGGCGCTTTCGGGCTTACGTCGAGTACATGTCGACGGAAACGGACGAACAGGCAGCTTCCTTAGATACCGGGCAGACCAAAGTAGCGGGACGGAAGCCGAAAAAATGCACCCCACCGATGATGCTGGCACGCCTAACTGCGTTAGGGTGCTTGTGCAAAGTAGAGGCCATACTCTTCGACGAACCACTCACAAAACCCATGGATGACATCACCGAGGCTAGGCAGTTGCTAGCGGTCAAGCTGTGACAGCTGCACGACTATCACTTTGAGTAATTACGCTTCCCTACCCCGTCGGCTACAACTTCTCACTCACTTTCTCACTTATGAATTGCTATATCTGCCCACTCAATACAGGAGGTGCGTCGACCCACACCGGGGCTCGCTCGACGATGTCTACACGGAGGAGCAGTTCCGCATTCTTGGTCCAGACATCCTGCCGCACTGGGCCAAGGTGTACTTCAGGTCGTCGATGGCGTACCCCAGTCTGTCGCTGTGGAAGGCCTTGGCTGTGAGGGTGATGATTTTGATGGCGCATCACATGCTGAGTAGGGGGATCAGCATCCGTGAGATCCGCTACTGCAACATGTTCACTCACGTCATTCTGCCCATCGCGAACAGCCCAGGGGAATCGTCGATCCTCGTTCTCGTGGTCGCCTATCGCAATTCGAAGACCGTCAAAGACAACAAGCTCGGCCACCTGTACCTGACTCGACACATGGAATTCCAGCAGGGCGACTTTGGAGCAGTTTTCCTCTGGCTACAATTCCTTTTCGACCTCGTGCCGCTCTACTACAACAACGCAAATATCGTGCCCCCCTTGAATTTTTTGGACCCAAAGGCCTTGTCGAAGAAGCATCTGTTCTTCGCCCTCTTCGACAAAGAGAAGGCAGAGATGCCGTACCCGACGCACAACAAATGGGTGACTTGGGCGATGAATAGCACAGTGTGGATCCTGTCGAAAGTCGCGCACATCTTTCGACGGTCTGCGGCACAGATCCTTGCGGACAAGAACTTAAACCTCGACACCATCGTACAGCTGGGTCAATGGGACATGAGCGAGATGCGCAGGTCATACGTCATAGGCATCCCACGCCCGGCCATCCAGGTGCAAGCGGGTTTCTCGGAGGAACTGGGCGACTATTAGATTGGAAGATCGAAGACCAAAGTGTCAAACTTATATCTGCTATGGTCTATTTAGGCTGTAGTGGGGTAGCTCTTAGTGGGTACAACACTTATGTGTTTCCTATATGTACCCATCTCATTTCTAGTTCATTCATTCTTTCGTCTATCATTCTCACATGGTATAGAGCTAGTTTCGAGATTTTTTAAAAAGGGCCCACCACTGAAATTTCTCCCCTGCCTACTTGCCGCGCGCTTCGCGCCTTCCCTTCGAGGCCCGTCACGGCCCCTGCGCCCGCCCTTAGAGCCTGCGCCCGCCCCGTAAGGCCCCTTAAGGCCTCGTTAGGCCCCGTAAGGCCCCTTTAGGCCCCGTTTAGGGCGCGGTTTAAGGCCCCGTAAGGCCCCGTTATGCCCCGTAAGGCCCCGTAAGGCCCCGTCAGGCCCCGTTCGGTCACGTGGGCGAGTCCAGCAGTGTCAGCTGTAGCGAACACCAAGTCGTCGACGTACACGAGGATGTAGAACGGCGGCAGCAAAGTGTCGGTGCGAAGAAACAGCGACGGGTCAACAGTGGAAGGAGCAAACCCAAGAGCCGCAAGCGTAGTCCTCAGTGTGTCGTGCCACTCACGTGGCGCCTGGCGGAGACCGTAGACTGGCCGCCGGAGGCTCCACTGGGTACCAGGAGGAAACGACCCAGTGAAGCCAGGTGGGCGGCGCAGCCAGATCTCCTCGTGCAGACTGCCCTGTAGGAAAGCAGTGCTGAAGTCGAGGGAGTGAAGCTCGTAGTCACGCTGGGCAGCAACGTGCAGCAGAACCCGAAGAGTGGTCATCTTCGGGGTCGGGGAGAAGGTCTGAAAGTAGTCAACTCCCTGCCGCTGACTGAAGCCTCGAGCCACGTAACGCGCCTTGAAGACAGGCGGAGAACCCGGCGGCCGCTTCACCCTGAAAATCCACATGCCACTGACGATGTTCACCCCAGGTGGGGGAACCTCGTCAACGTAGGTGCCTGTGGACTTCCAGGAAGCCATCTCTGCATCCATGGCTGCCTGCCACTGAGAGGAGTAAGGACCCTCTATCGCCTCTGCGTAAGAGCGCGGGGTCGGGATGTCTGGTGCATCCGGGTCTCCCTCAGGGGCAAGCAGCGTGGACACGAGATGAGGTAAAGCAGCAGCAAAACACTGGAACTCCTCCTGTCGGTCCTCAAGGACGTCCGTGCTAAGAGCACACTCACCCCCGACGGACGGAGGACAGACAGACACAGACTCAGCAACAAGACTAGTGGCGTAGTCGAGACGAGAGTGAGCAGCAAAGTCGACAAGCTCGGTAACTAAGGCAGACGCAGCAGTGGACTCAAAGGAAGGGTCAGTGACAACAGTGGCGAGGAGACGCGTGACAGTAGGACTGGCAGCACGAAGGGAGTCAGACGCCGGGTCAGCAAGGGCAGGAAGAGAGGACTCTGGAGGAGACGGCAAAGGGACACACTGTGGCGCAGTGGAAGGACGCAGTGCCATCTGATGCGTGCCAGGGACTGCTGGAGGACGCGGACGTGGAACACGATGACTAGTGCGAGCAGTGCGAACAGGCGACGCAGGACGCGACTCAGGCTCACGACGCTCAGCAAGACCTCCAGTAGGACCAGCGTAGGGAGACGGAGCAGGTAGAGGGGAGGCCAGCTGTAACTGTGACTCGGACTGGACAGGCGGAGGACACGCTAAGGAAGGAGCAGGACTAGGAGAAGGCGGAAGACCAAGAACCTGCTCAAGGAGTGGAACGAAGTACGGCCGCGGCCGCGCAGGACCGACAGGACCAGCAGGGACAACACCAGTACCCCCAGCATCAGCTCCACCTCCAGCAGGACCACCAGCAGACACAGCCGCTCCGGCTCCAGTACCTCCAGTAGCACCCACTCCAGCAGCACCACCAGCTCCAGCACCAGGAGCACCAGCAGGCCCAGCAGCTCCAGTACCTCCAGTACGAGCACCTCCGGGACCCGTGGCTCCAGCACCCCCAGTAGAAGTAGAACCTCTAGTACCGGCTCCAGTAGCACCACCAGCTCCAGTACCTCCAGTAGCAGCAGAACCTCCAGCAGCGGCAGCACCTCCAGCTCCAGCAGCACGGCTCCAGCGGCGAGCAAACCACTCGCGCAGCTCCTGTGGAGAGGGAAGCTCCCGCCGGGACAACGCACCCGAAGGACCGCCAGGTCCAGCACCGGCAGGCTCCACACCCCCACTCCCAGCAGCCCCAGGCTCAGCACCCCCAAAAGTAGCACCCCCAGGCTCCGCACGCTCAGGCTCAGCACCCCCAGACCCAGCACCCCCAGGCTCCGCACCCCCAGGCTCAGCACCCCGAGACTCCGCACGCTCAGGCTCAGCACCCCCAGACGCAGCACCCCCAGGCTCAGCACGCTCAGGCTCAGCACCCCCAGACGCACCAGAGTCAGCAGCTACCTCGACAGGCTCGACTGCATCTACCTGGGACACACCTGAGGGGGCAGGACCCTGAGGGGGGAGGGGGTCTACCGGGGGGGGACCGGGCACGAGGAAGAGCGGCGGGGGGGGGAGGGGGGCAGTGCGGTAGGGGAAGAGATGGTAGTACGGAACCGACTCGTCAAACGTGACGTCCTAAGAGGATAGAACACGACGCGAGGTGGGGTGGTAAAACTGCCAACCAGGTGCGTCAGGGGGAAAGCCGAGGAAGACGCAAGGAACAGCACGGGAGGACAGCTTGTCCGCAGACAAGTCTCGAACGAAAGCTCGAGATCCCCAGACACGGAACGCAGACGCAAAACCAACCTTCCCCGTCCACCGCAGAGTAGGGGAGGTCTCTGGCAGGGAGACCCGGGGCTGAAGGTTGATCTGATGCGCCGCGTACTGAACCGCGAACGGCCACAGAAAATGGGGAGCAGCCGCATGGATCATGGACGTACGAGCGACATCCATGACCATGCCAATGCGGCGCTCAGCAATCCCATTTTGCTGTGGAGAGGCCGGAAGCGTGAACGTCTGGCGGATGCCCTCCGCACGACAGAAGGCTCGCAGAAGGTCGGAGGAAAACTCTCCGCCTCTGTCGGAGTGCAGACGCAGGACAGGAAAGTCCGAGCCGAAACGCTCTCTGAGCTGGAGACGAGCAACGCGGATCCAGTCGATCAACACCTCTGCGACCTCACCCTTGCTGCGCAAGGGGAAGACAGTGGTGTAACGCGAGTAGTCGTCAACCACCAGCTGGAAGTAACGCTCGTGACCCTGTCCACGGACGCGGGCTGGGCCCCACACGTCTATGTGAAGAGTCTGCAGCGGAGCCTCTGTGGGGGGAAACTCGGAGGAGTGAGGAGCGGCGCGCTGCCGCCCCTCGACGCAGGGAACGCAGGTAGGGGCAGGCCCCGGGGGAAGGGGAGGGAGGGACCGGGGGAGACCAGAGACAAGGACACGGGAGGCCATGCCTCGGAGACGAGGCAAGGAGGGGTGACCAAGTCGGTGGTGCCAGAGGAGGGTCTGGTGGGACAGGAGGCGACACGAGCAGGGGGCAGACTCAGGACCTGACCAAGACGCTGCAGCAAACACCTGACTCGACGCAGCTACCTGACCAGACGCAGCAACCGGAGGAGACTCTGTGGTCAGTGTGTACAGGCTCGACCCCGGTCGACGGGTAAACGTGGCCAAGTGGCGGCCCGTCTGAGCACACGTGCAGTGGGTCACTCGCTGACCTGCAGGTGTGAACTGGTCAACTCCGGCATCCTGAAGGTCAGCACCACTCACCAAGTTCGTGGAGAACGAGGGGAGGTAGAGACCAGACAGGGAGCCGGACGGGGCCGCCGGACACGGGAGGACAGTGGAGTAGCGAGCAAGGACAGGACCCTCAGAGGGGTCCGCCAGGGAGACCGCAACCGGCCGACTGAGCGGCGTAAGGGTGGTGCGGTCTCGAAAGAAGGAGCGGGAAGCACCCGAGTCGAGGGTGAAGGTGTGAAAGACCTGAGCCGACGCGGTACCTGAGAGAGCAGCCTCACCAGCACCTAGAGTAGCAGACTCACGAGTACCTGGAGCAGCAGACTCACGAGCACCTAGAGCAGCAGCCTCAATACCAAGGTCAGGCGGAACACACACGTAACAGTCACCCTCAGCACTAATAGACACAGCATACATGGCAGCAAGAATAGCATCAAAGTCAAGATCAAAGATAGCTACCCCCGACCTGAGCAGATCACTCCAACGAGGGATCTCAGTGGCGTCCGGGAACTGGGCACACCAGGCGTCCGTCAGGCGACCGAAGCAGCGCTGGGTGGCGTGCAGGTCGCCACACTGCTCTCCAGTGCGGTCGCCGGTGCGCAGGACGTAAGTACAGGGACCAGCACCTCCAGACCCCTGGCGCCCCGTGTACCACTCACGAAGCTGCTGGGGCGAAGGGGTCTCACGAGAGCGCTGCTGCTGCTGAGGTCCCCGCTGCACAGCTCCGCCTCTGCCAGCTCCACCTCTGCCGCCGCCGCCTCCGCCTCCTCCACCCCTCCCGCCACCGCCACTGCCGCCTCCACCTCCACTGCCGCCACCGAAGCCCCCACCTCTGCCACCACCCCCACCCCCACCCCCTCCTCCGCCTCCACCGCCACTACCGCCGCCCCCACCACCTCCTCCAGCTCCCTTGCCCCGCTTGCCCTTGCTGATGCGGCGCCTCTCACTAGGAGCAGACGCAGCGCTGACCGGCTCAGTGCCAACAAGGTCGACAGCAGCAGCAGAGGCAACAGAGGGCAAAAGAGGAACAGGGGAGCACCCCTCAAAGAAAGGGGTACGGGGGTCACCACAAGAGGCGCCTACAGCGGTAATACTAGTCTCTGCTGCAAGGAGGCGCTCCTCGAGGAGGTCGACAGTGAGGGTGGTAGGGCAAAGAGAGAGGAAGTGGTCCCTGACCGAGCGGAGAGTGTCAGGGAGTCGAGTGACTAGATAGTAGAGGGTGATGTACATGGGGGGGGGGTGCTGGGCGCAGAACTTAGCAGGAAGCGCAGCGCGGTAGCGAGTGTCACTAGTGCGGAGGTGCGTAATGAGGTCAGTGACTGTGGCAAAAGCAGCGAGGTCAGGTAACAGGTACGGTAGCATGAGGCGACTAAGCGCAGCAGTGGCAGGGGAGGAGTAGCGTGCAACTACTGCGTCGTACAGAGTCTTAGCACTCTTGTACTGACTAAAGTGCGCGCGCTCAGTAGACGGTAGGTGACTACGCACAGCAAGGCGGGCAGCAGCATCGCGCGTGAGCCACTGCGAGCGAACGGTACTGTCAGCATCAGCAGCAGGGGCAGTAGAGGCACCCGACGTAAGATCAAACAGGGAGAGACCATCCTTGCTATCGCACTGAAGGAAAAGCTGCAGATCATCTAGCCAGACATCAAAGTCAACCGCTCGACCCTCAGCATCAAAGGTGAGAAGACTAGGACTAGCCATGCTAGGAGCAGCAGCAGACTAGCAGCAGCAGTAGTGCAACTGAGCGAGGCAGGACAAAGCGACTCGGCAGGGCAATTAGCAAGGCAGTGCGGCTCGGCCGCGCGGCTCGGCCCGGCTAGGCTCTTACCAGGGGCGGAACGACAGGTCCGGGACTGGGTCGGGGCCGTGACAGGGCCGGGACAGGGTCGGGGCCGAGCAGGGTCCTGGACGGGGCAGAAACGGGGCCGGGACAGGGTCAGGGCCGGGGCAGGTCCGGGACAGGGTCGGGGCCGAGCAGGGTCCGGGACAGAGCAGCAACGGGGCCGGGACAGGGTCGGGGCCGGGGCAGGTCCGGGACGGGGTCGGGGCCGGGGCAGGTCCGGGACGGGGCCGAGGGAGGGCTGGGACAGGGTCGGGGCCGGGGCCAAGGCAGGTCCGGGACGGAGGCGAGGCCGGGACGGGACCGGGACGGGGCCCTTTAGGGGCGGCGTAGGGGCCGCGTAGGGGCGGCAGAGGGGCCTCGTCAGGGGCAGAGTAGGGGCCGCGTCAGGGGCGGCGTAGGGGCCGCTTCAGGGGCCGCGTAGGGGCCGTGTCAGGGGCCGCGTAGGGGCCGCGTAGGGGCCGCGTCAGGGGCCGCGTCAGGGGCCGCGTAGGGGCCGCGTAGGGGCCGCGTCAGGGGCCGCGTAGGGGCCGCGTCAGGGGCAACGTAGGGGCCGCGTCAGGGACGGGGCTGGGTCGGGCCGCGGCAGGGGTGGCGTAGGGGCCGCGTAGGGGCCGCGTCAGGGGCCGCGTAGGGGCCGCGTCAGGGGCCGCGTAAGGGCCGCGTCAGGGGCCGCGGAGGGGCCGCGTAGGGGCCGCGTCAGGGGCCGCGTAGGGGCCGCGTCAGGGGCCGCGTAGGGGCCGCGTCAGGGGCCGCGTAGGGGCCGCGTCAGGGACGGGTAGGGGGCGCGCTAGGGGCCGCGTAGGGGCCGCGTAGGGGCGCGCTAGGCGACAAAGGGGCCACGTAGGGGCCGCGAAAAAAAAAATTTAGGGCAGGGCGTTGGGCAGCTAAAAAATTATGGTGGGCCCTTAGGAAGGAACGGTCCCATGTGGGAACCCGCTCTATACCATGTGAGATTAACAACAGGAATGGATGAACTAGGAAAGTGTGAGATGCAAATCAGAAACCTGTACCCCTTAGAGTCTACCCCACTACAGCCTACATATGCTAAGGCATATATATCTGACACGTCAGGCTCCTTCAGGCCCAGTTAGAGGCCTCGTAAGACCCCGTTAGAGGCCCCGTAAGGCCCGTCAGGCCCCGTTATAGGCCCCGTCAGGCCCCGTTATAGGCCCCGCACAGCCCCGTTATCGACCCCGTACGGCCCCATTATAGGCCCCGTCAGGCCCCGTTATAGGCCCCGTCAGGCCCCGTTATAGGCCCCGTTCGGCCCCGTTAGGCCCCATTTGGCCCCGTTTCAGGCCCCGTAAGGCCCGTCAGGCCCCGTTATAGGCCCCGTACGGCCCCGTACGGCCCCGTTATAGGCCCCGTCAGGCCCCGTTATAGGCCCCGCACGGCCCCGTATGGCCCCGTTATAGGCCCCGTCAGGCCCCGTTATAGGCCCCGTTCGGCCCCGTTATAGGCCTCGTCAGGCCCCGTTATAGGCCCCGTTCGGCCCAGTCAGGCCCCGTTAGAGGCCCCTTCAGGCCCAGCCGGCCCTGCTGCGGCCCTGTCGCAGCTCTTCCCCGACGCTGCCCCGGCCCTGCTCCTGAACTGCCCCGGCCCTGCTTCTGCACTGCCCCGGCCCTGCTCCTGACCTGCCCCTGAACTGCCCCGGCCCTGGCCCGGCTCTGCCCAGGCCCTGCCCCGGCCCTGCCCCGGCTCTGCCCCGGCCCTGCCCCGGTCCTGCCCCGGCCCTGCCCGTGAACTGCCCCGGCCCTGGCCCGGCTCTTCCCTGGCCCTGCCCCGGCCCTGCTCCTGAACTGCCCCGGCCCTGCCCCGGCCCTGCTCCTGAACTGCCCCGGCCCTGCCCCGGCCCTGCTTCTGCACTGCCCCGGCCCTGCTCCTGAACTGCCCCGGCTCTGCCCCGGCCCTGCCCCGGCCCTGCCCCAGCCCTGCCCCTGAACTGCCCCGGCCCTGGCCCGGCTCTGCCCTGGCCCTGCCCCGGCCCTGCTACTGAACTGCCCCGGCCCTGCCCCGGCCCTGCTCCTGAACTGCCCCGGCCCTGCCCCGGCCCTGCTCCTGGACTGCCCCGGCCCTACCCCGGCCCTGCCCCAGCCTCTCCCCTGGTAAGAGCGCCGCGCTGCCGAGCCACACCGCCCTGCCGAGCTGCGCCGCCCTACCTAGCCTGCTTACCCGGGTTCCACTGCTGCTACTGCTAGCCTGCTGTTTCTCCTGTCATGGCTAGTCTCAATGTTCTTACCTTTGATGCTGAGGGTCGGGCTGTTGACTTTGAGGTCTGGCTAGATGATCTGCAGCTTTTCCTACAGTGCGATAGCAAGGATGGTCTCTCACTGTTCGATCTCACGTCTGGCGCCTCTACTGCCCCTACTGCTGATGCTGACAACACTGTTTGCTCGCAGTGGCTCACGCGCGATGCTGCCGCTCGTCTTGCTGTGTGCAACCACCTGCCGTCTACTGATCCCGCGCACTTTAGTCAGTACAAGAGTGCTAGGGCTCTGTACGACGCTGTAGTTGCACGCTACTCCTCCCCTACCACTGCTGCCCTCAGCCGCCTCATGCTGCCGTACCTTTTTCCTGACCTTGCCGCCTTTTCCACAGTTGCTGACCTAGTTGCTCACCTCCGCACTAGTGACGCTCGCTACCGCGCTGCCCTTCCCACTGAGTTTCTTCCCACGAACTCCCCCCCCATGTACATCACCCTTTACTACCTAGTCACCCGCCTCCCTGACTCTCTCTCCTCAGTCAGGGATCACTTTCTCTCCCTTTGCCCTACCGAGCTGACTGTCGACTTGCTAGAGGAGCGCCTTGCTGCAGCTGAGAAGAGTATCTTAGCTGTTGGTGCTTCTCGCGGTGACCGTCGCACCCCCTTCTTTGAGGGGTGTTCCCCTGTCCCCCTTCTCCCCTCTGTTGCCTCTGCTGCTGCTGTCGACCTCGTTGGCACTGAGGAGGTCGGCGCTGCGTCTGCCCCTAGTGGGCGACGCCGCACTGGCAAGTGCAAGGGAAGCAGGGGTGGTGGTGGGGGCGGTGGAGGCAGCGGTGGAGGAGGTGGAGGAGGTGGAGGTGGTGGTGGGGGTGGTTCCGGGAGTGGGGGCGTAGGTGGCGGCAGTGGCGGCCGTGGCGGCGGTGGTGGAGGAGGTGGCGGCGGCGGCGGCGGTGGTGGAGGTAGCGGAGGAGGTGGTGCTGGTCGCGGTGCGGCCACGCAGCGTGGAGGCCTTGGTGGCAGCCAGCGTCCGCAGCAGCTACGCACCCGTGAAACCCCGTCTGTTCAGCAGCTTCGTGAGTGGTACGCTGGACGTGGGAGGTCTGGGGGTGCAGGTCCCTGCGCGTACGTTCTTCGCACCGGCACTCGTAGTGGGGAGGTGTGTGGTCTCCCACACACCACGCAGCGCTGCTTTGGCCGCTTGACTGACGCTTGGCGTACCCAGTTTCCTGACGCTGTTGAGCTTCCTCGTTGGCATGATCTGCTTCTGCAGAATGTGCCTATCTTTGATCTAGATTTTGATGCTATCCTTGCTGCCATGTATGCTCTTGCTGATATTACTGAGGGTGACTGTTACCTGCGTGTCCCGCCCGACCCGGGCACTGTGGCTGCTGCTCTAGGTGCTAGTGCGGCTGCTGCTCTAGGTGCTAGTGCGTCTGCTGCTCCAGGTGCTGGTACGTCTCCTCCCTCTGGTACTGCACCTACTGAGTCCTTTCACACCTTCACACTTGACTCTGGTGCTTCGCGCTCTTTCTTTAGAGACAACACCACGCTCACGCCGCTCCGTCGGCCTGTTGCGGTCTCCCTTGCTGACCCCTCCGGGGGACCAGTCCTTGCACATTCCTCCACGGTTCTACCATGTCCTGCGGCCCCGTCGGGCTTGCTGTCGGGACTCCACCTCCCCTCGTTCTCTACGAACTTGGTGAGTGGAGCTGACCTCCAGGACGCGTGGGTTGACCAGTTCACCCCTGGAGGTCAGCGTGTGACCCACTGCACTTGCTCTCGGACGGGCCGCCACCTGGCCACGTTCACCCGTCGGCCAGGGTCGAGTCTGTACACACTGACTACTGCGCCTCCTCTGGTCCCTGCGTCTGGTCAGGTAGCTGCGTCCAGTCAGGTGTTTGCTGCTGCGTCCAGGTCTAGTCCTGCGTCTGCCCCCTGCTCGTGTCGTCCTCTGGCGCACGAGACTCTCCTCTGGCACCACCGCCTTGGTCACCCCTCCCTGCCTCGTCTTCGAGGTATGGCCTCCCGTGCTCTTGTCTCTGGACTCCCCAGGTCCCTCCCTCCCCTTCCTCCGGGGCCTGCCCCCACCTGTGTTCCTTGTGTCGAGGGCCGGCAGCGCGCCGCTCCTCACTCCTCCTCGTTTCCTCCGACTGAGGCCCCTCTGCAGACTCTTCACATGGACGTGTGGGGCCCAGCCCGCGTTCGTGGACAGGGTCACGAGCGTTACTTCCTGCTGGTCGTTGACGACTACTCGCGTTACACCACAGTTTTCCCCTTGCCAGCAAGGGTGAGGTCACTGAGGTGTTGATCGACTGGATCCGCGGTGCTCGTCGCCAGCTTAGTGAGAGTTTCGGCTCCGACCTTCCTGTTTTGCGTCTGCACTCAGACAGAGGCGGGGAGTTTTCCTCCGACCTTCTGAGAGCCTTCTGTCGTTTGGAGGGCATCCGCCAGACGTTCACGCTTCCGGCCTCCCCGCAGCAAAATGGGATTGCTGAGCGCCGCATTGGCATGGTCATGGATGTCGCTCGTATGTCCATGATCCATGCGGCTGCTCCCCACTTTCTGTGGCCGTTCGCGGTTCAGTACGCTGCGCATCAGATCAACCTTCAGCCTCGTGTCTCCTTGCCGGAGACCACACCTACTCTGCGGTGGACG